ATTCCATTGCACATGAGGGATATAAAGCTGTTTATAAAACTCCTATCTCTCTTTTTCATTAATTCATTCATAATGATGCTAGACTTAAAAGTATCACAGACCTCTGTTTAGTGGAGCTGCAATGCTAAGACTGAATATCTCCGCTGTAATCCTCTGGAGCTGGAAGGGAAGCACTGGTTAGTAGATATAGCCAATTCCCCCAATAACTGGACGACACACAGTTCTGGGAGTCAACTGATCTTTATTACTCCACACATGTCCATAGTATGGGGTCTCCAGGACAAGTTGACAGATGCACTGAGTCTGAGAGATAATTGAGCTAGGAATTTTAGATAACTCAATTATCTCTCAGTTACATACAAGATATACTTTTTATAAAACACCACAAAAACATAATAAAACAGTACAGGAACCCCACAATTTTTATATTCCCAAGTAGCCTAAATCTGAGCGCACAACATACCCCAAAAGTGCTCAGATTGGTTCAGTGGAACAAGATCGCTATTTGGGCGAAGATTTCACCTGCCTGCCACGAGGTGATGCCCCAAAAGAGTTCCAGAGAATCCAGGGCTGTAGCCAGTCTTGAATCGGGAGTTACTGCATGAACACTGACGAACGCTCCCCTCTTGCTCTTAGCTAGCGAATGCTCCCTCAGTCGGTAGATCATATCTCCCAAAAGTGGTTTGTGTAGTTGTTCTGGAAAGTATACAGTCAGCAGTACCATCTTGACCAGGGTTCGTGAGAACGTGGTGCATGAAGTGTTTCTTTAAATTCATTTACAATTTACAGCCACCTCTCTAACCTGCTGCTCTCTAAGTTAACCGTTTGAAAGAGATATGTTATTATAACCTTTATGTGTTATACCGCTGCCTGCATTCGGGAGACAAAATCGCCATGCACTGAGCCACGTGCATTCAGTTATACAAACGGCGGTCACCCAGGGAAAAAGCACTCAAGTACTCCTTAATTGTGGTTAACAGCCAGGGGTCGTTGGCGATTCAGATTTGTTTGTAAGAATTTCAGATGGGTTCGGGCAACCCCAGGGACTAATGCCAGGTCCGCCACACTCTCAAATGCTACATCAGTAACTATATTGTTACGTCGTTTCCATAAACCTTAACCATCTCCATACTAGCCTATTCAAAGGAGCAGTCAAATCATCCTCCATATACAACACAACAACATAGATTAACAACGCACAATAGCTGAGCATGGCATATTTTATAATCGCTATCATATAACACTGGAAAGTAAAAAGATTTCTTTTCTTTTTTTTACGGAGCACAAAGTAAATTTAAACAATACGTACGTCTACCATAGTAAAAACCGAGTTAAATCATTTTTTATAATTAAAACAAAGCACCGACAATGAATCCAATTAAATCCAAAACAGCAATATTTATGTATAAAATTTACTTAATTAACACCAGGATAAATATCTCACGTTACACCATTACAATGATGTTACATTAAAATGAAACGGAGATGTCCCACTCGACATTCAAGGGAAGCTCTGGTCTCCAAATAGAATATCCAAAACATCTCCCTCTTGGAAAGAATATGGGTCACCACCTCTCAAAGGTCTCTTCACCCTTTCTAGGTCTTGAAAGAAAAAACTGTGTCTCTCCATTTTGTTCTTACAAAAAATGTCTGTTGACAGTTGTAATACGTTCCTTCAATATGTATAGCATGGCTGGACATGGGCCAAATGTACTAAACCAAAATAACTATGTAGTGTGGCCGAACATAGACTGAATGTACTGAGCCATAACGAACACGTAGCATGGCTGAATGTATTAAACCAAATGTATACTACGTAGCGCAGCCAAATGTACTGAATCACAGGGAAAATGCAGTGCAGCCTAACGTAGTTTGGGTAGATAAAACTCCAGTTTAGGTAATGAGATATTTTAGTGACTTTTCTGTATCTTGAGTATTATATAGATGAATTGTAAATGTGACAAATTCTAGAATGATACCTATCCAACGATTGTAACACAGAATTCATCTAAATAATAGAAATCGTACATTTCTAGCTAAGCAGATGTTTTTGTATATCTTTGCAAAATTGCTTTAGATTTAGCTCATACATTTTCTAAAATTAAGTATATTCAATTTATGTATGGATCTTGTGTCATTTTGGCAAAACTAAATTTAAAATGAATATAATTTAAACCTTTTAAGATCCTGGATGTGATGCTTCTTTTAACCTCTTATTGAGGAGAAACTGTAAGACTCTTTGATTTTTTGTGTGAATTACAATGTCTAGTTAATGGAAACATTAAGATTGTCAGAACAAAACTCTCTTGGAAAACTCTAGAGGATATGAATTGTAATATGAATTAAAAGTACTTCATAAGCTGGCAAAATGTTTGAATTAAAATGTAAAATTGTATCAGCTATTCTGTCATTACATAGTTTATGCAGAAAATGGATCTGATAATATGATATTATTTTGAAAAACGTCCAAGATAAATGTATGATATTATGCATGGGTCTTTAACATTCGTTGCATCCTATTTTATATTGTGTGCATAATATGGGGATTTTAGCCACTGTATAATGCAAAATACAAAAATAAAAACCAAGCTATATTTTATTTGCTTCCTTTCTTGGAAGCTTTAAAAATGAATTTACTTAGCATGAAGACCCTTTAATAAATCCTTATCAGTACACATTAATAAAAAAACTTCATGTGCAAGACATCAAACAGGAAATGTCCAAAATGAACAAGAGAATTAAAGAAAATGAACACGAAATTTAAACAATCCAATTTGACATGAACGAACAGAGAAATAGATATATCAATATGGAGGAAAAAATAACTACACTAGAGGTTCAATTTACTGATACAGAAGACAGGGCAAGAAGGAAAAACCTGAAAATAAGGGGTATCGCAGAAAAGATAGATACAGAAAAAATTAGACTCTACTTAATTGCTCTTTTCAAAGCTATGAATGTCTAAGAGGCACAAGAAGAAGAAGTAATAGAAAGAGTCCACAGACTCCCCAAATCTAGCTCTCTCCCAGCTGAAGTACCACGTGACATTTTTATAAGATTTAATTCATACTACATAAAACAAAAAATACTATCCGCCTCGAGAAACTTTCATACAGAGGAAGGGAATTTCCATAATCTTCAATTCTATCAAGATCTCTCCTCCAGAACTTGACAACAGAGAAGAATCATCAAACCAACACTTGATGTCCTTAGAACTAAGAACATTAAATACCGATGGGGATTTCCGACAAAATTGATACTGACATATGAAGGAAGAAACTGGATATTTAATGTGACGAGTCAAGCTCAGGATTGGTTGAACAAATCTTTAAAGGGTTTTAAAGAAACAAGTTCAAATGATCTAGAATAAGGTACTAGAGGGCAGTCGTGAGTGCGATGGGGAGGGAGAGGGCTGAGGGAGAAGGTTGACTTACTTACTGTTTATTTTTTATTTTTTTTTCCATCTCATTATTATACCACAAATTAATTTATTTTTTTCCTCTTTCTATATTGAAGGGTTTTTAAGCACTATGAAACCATAGGGTTAAAACATATTTCCCCCTAATAATTAATACTTGTATACACAGAATGTAGGTAAGTTTTGTCACAATTAAGGGGTAAGATCCCACAACTGGGAATTTAAATAAATTAAATTAAATAAAAAGAAGGGGAATGGGTAAAGAGGTAAGGGTAGGAGAGAGGTAAAGGTAGTGGAAATAGCTAGCTTGGTTAGCTTGGTTAGTTTAGACAACCACAAGATGATGTGAAATTAAGTGAATGGTAATAGTATATATGTAATTATCCATGTACGGCCTTAAGGCCCCACAAAAACTGTGGGTTAAATTATATTCCTCACTAATACATAAAATAGGATAACATTGAAATTAGTTTGATACACTTAAGGGGTAAGAACACACAATTGGAGCACAATTATGCTACAGTAGGGGAATAGAGATAAGATTAAAGAAAAGGTGAAGTAGTTGGAATAGATGACTAGGCTAGTTTAGATGAACACAAGCCGATGTGAATTACTATAAAAGATAATAGGATACACGCTACTTTACAGATAGGAGCACTTTTAAAGTATTTATTAACTATTTTTTCACTCATTTAAACAGTAGAAAGGGTAAAGGAATACAATATAAAAAGTTTGAGGTTTATGGATGGCACAATATTTTAGTGGGTTGCAGGGGGCGATCTTATTATTCTGTGGTTACTGATTATCCGCCAACAATCTGGATATGTATTATTGGTATATTTTTGGAATAGGAGGATGATGCCCTAATCTCTCTCCTCCTCTCTCCCCTCTAAAACACATATAATTTTAATTAGTTGCCTGCCATAAATTTATGGGGGTTGTAGGAGCACTCGCCTCATGGCAAGTAATCACTTTTTGGAAGAGATAAGGAGTCAAATTAATCTCTTGGGGTGTGTCAGTCCAGATGAAATGGTATTACTCTTCCTTTTGGGATTTTGTTGTGTGTTATGTCTGCGCGACCATTTTGAATTCAAAACTCTGGTATTGACTGTATGAACCCTTGTAAGATGTATAATGTTACAGAAGGATGACATTAATTTAACATTACCTTCTGAACTCATATCTAACGCCGGACGCGGCTAAGGTACTGGTTCATGCTGTTGTTCTCTCTCGCCTTGACTATTGCAATCCCCTTCTCACCGGTCTTACATGTTCCCAGCTTGCACCGCTGCAATCTATAATGAATACGGCTGCGAGGCTTATATGCCTGTCCGGTCGCACCTCCCACGCCTCCACGCTCTGTCAGTCCCTGCATTGGCTTCCAGTTAGATATAGGGCCCAATTCAAAATCCCTACATAATGCTGCTCCAACATACCTATCCTCCCTCATACACAAGTATGTCCCGTCGAGACCTCTGCGCTCAGCCCAAGACCTACGCCTATCCTCTGCCCGGATCCCCACCTCTGATGCTCGCCTTCAAGACTTCTCCAGGGCTGCACCTATTCTGTGGAACTCACTTCCCTCCTCAATCAGACTTTCACCCAGCCTCCATTCCTTCAAAAAATCTTTGAAAACTCACTTCTTCATTAAAGCGTATCAATTAAACTGTCAGCAGGTTTCTCATCCCCCACCCCATGACTCCATTCCTGCACCTGTCAAAAATGACCTACCAAGCACTCAATAAACCCTTCTGTAACAAACTATTTAATTCCCCTACTTTAACCCTTTGTGTCACTATACCCCACTCCCTCTAGCATGTAAGCTCATCGAGCAGGGTCCTCAACCCCCTCTGTTCCTGTACGTTAGTGGTCTGATCTCAATTATGTGTCTGTTAGTCCACCCATTGTACAGCGCTACGGAATTTGTTGGCGCTATATAAATAATAAAATAATAATAATAATAGTAATAATAACTCACTATTTTCACAGAGACAAGCAACGGTGGAAAAATAATTCATGCCCATATTTCAGAACCAACACCCATGTAATTTTCTAGACCTTCTTATCATTGGAAAAATTGAGTAACTTGCAGTTTCTTTTAAACAATTTGGTGTTCATATTGCGCATTTGTATAGTAGATAAGATAAGTCAGATAAAGTACAAGGCAAGATGGAAAAATGAAAGGTAAAATATCTGGCTCTGAGAATGTCAAACAAAAGGGTATAGAAACACTGTGAAAAATATAATAAAAAATGCAAATGTAATTAAAGGTGAAAAATTTACTTAGTTTGTAAAATATAGGCATTAACTCTCAGCAGTAAGAATCATAGGTGAAAACAGTTCTCACTTGAAAACTAAACTAAACGGTTTTTGAAAACTAAATGTAAACATTTTAAAATTATAAACATGTTATTTTATATTTTATGTACAAGGTTTGATGGTTAATGCTAGATAAAGTTTATAAATTACTTAACAGTACAGAATCACATGCGACACTGCTCGAGAAACTGTTCACAAACACATGTACGGAATTTCTCTATTCGATGCGTGAGAACAGGTAAGTGCACCTAGACAAGATAGGGTGGCAGAGCTAATTTAGAGCATTCATGAAAACTTTCAATTTTCAGCATTGTTTCTATGCTTTTCTCTGGCGTGTTATATATTTACACTGACGAAAAAAGTTAGGAGAAATATATTTGTCAGTGCCACTTTGGGAATCGACATGTTAGTGTCCTATAGACTTTCCACTGTTTGCTGATTTTATGGTGATAACAGATGTTTTTACTTTCTTAAAGACCTAGTCAATAAGTCACTAAAAATATATATATCGTAACTGAAGAGTCGTAAATCTATGGAACTTGTTGATCTGTTCTCTATGCAGTAGACTTATGCATGTGGTTTCAAACAAATTGCGATTCGTCCAAATTTGGTAACTCTAAAGTGTTATATGTACATATCATGAATTTAATGTCATGGAAAATTAATAAACAGTTTCCTTTGATTCGGGGTTCCATTCATGATACCAAAGACTTATAGAAAAGATGATTTATGATCTGAGGACAGCCTCTAAATATTGATTTTATTCATAGATTAAGTGACAAATGTGCACTAGAGGGGAAAAAGGAGAAGCAGAAATGAATAAATAAATAAATAAATATAAACATCCACGAACAAAGGCACTCACCGGATTTATAACTCAAAGAAGTGTGTCTTTATTTACCACGATTAGGTTAAATCACATCAACGTTTCAGTCCTTACCCGGATTTTCATCAGGATCCTGATGAAACCATGGCACTGAAGACACAATTGTGAGTGCAGGACCAAAATAAATATTTTTTTTTTTTGCTACTCTTCCTTTTTAACCAAATGGTGGGACAATACATCTACCAGTATCCTGCAAAATATATACCTAATATCTACATTAACATCCAACAAGAAAAGGCTGCTCTCCGGACTTAAATTAAAAGTGTATACAGCTCTACATTTAAGCTTATACTTCTTAGTTTGTCTCTGACCCTGAGGAAGGTCCCGATCGGGGACCGAAACGTTGGTCATCATTTTTAAATTTTTTCAATAAAACTTTTGATTTTAAGTCCGGAGAGCAGCCTTTTCTTGTTGGATGTTATACCTATTGGAGCTTTGGTGGTGCGCCCGGCATTTGGAATACTTCAAGCGTGAGTGCAGGGGATGTTGATATTCTTTTAATATCTACATTATGTATATATTTCTCAGTACTCTGACTGACCCATTTTTGTGTCCTTTGGTTCATTCAAATAGTTTTTTCCTCAATGACTGCATGGGTGAAATTAGTCTAAACCAAAAAGCCACAGGGACGAATTTCGAACCACCTGAACAAAATGTTTTTTGGATTCAGTTTAGGTGAACCAAATTTTTATGCTATTTAAGAAGTATAAGCTTAAATGTAGAGCTGTATACACTTTTAATTTATCCCATTTTTCAAAGGCTAGATATTAGAAGATGAAATATATTTAAAAAGAAAAAATAATAATTATATTTAAAATCATTTGATACATTTTCTAATGATTCATAGAAACAATTTATACACATGTTTAGTGATTTTCCCTGATGAATATATTTATACGTCTTTGCTCATTCAGACTCATTAAATATACTTTTACACTATAAGAAAACAAGATATGATATGCCCCAGGTTAACCTGTATCCACGTGATAACAGGAATTATCCTCCAAACTACCAAGTTTCAGAGAATCAAAGTTATAACAGAACGATTATTTTTATACTGTATGGAGATATTTGATCATGGAGAGACCATTTTCTTTAATGTAGTAATCTGGCCTTGTTACAGTATCTCCAGGGGAGAAATAACAAATTATGCATTTGTATTTCTGATAGCTGACTCTTTACAGCTTCAGGATGTTCATTACTTTCTGGCATCAACTCTTTTAGATGAATGAAATGGTTTCCTTGTGTAGATCATGCCCCTGCTGTTTTAATGTTCAATTCTCTACCATTTAGTAGTCAAATCACTTTGTTTAAGCAGCCAAAGAAGTATATCCCCTGGCTGAGACTTACACAGCCTCCCTAGACACTTCCTGAAAAAAGTGTCTAACTTTTTTAGTTTCCCCTATTGCAAAGTGAGTTAAATTTAGAATTTCCTATTCCCTGCTTTGATAATAAACTACTAGATCTGCTTTGTTTATTTTGCCATAGCCACAACTCTTGTGGCTGTTGAGCACACAGCTTCCCTATACACTTTCACTAAAAACATATCTAATTTTTATACTTTATTTCTCATCTGCTGCTCTGTTAAGAACCTGCTACAGCCTACAGAAGTCTCCTGTGTGTAATTCAAGTTAAACACACTGTGCTGTAAGATCTGATTAAAATGGAACTATTTATTTTTTTACGGAGCCTTTGTGAGTTACAGACAAGGGAGGTGTGGCTAGTCCTGCGTAAAAATAAACAAAAGTGATTTAACTCCAAAATGGCAGAGAACTGAGCATCGACACTGCGGGTGCACAAGCTATACACTAAAAGTGACTCATTAGGTTAAAGTTGTTTTGGTGCTCACAGTATTCCATTAATAGGAGTTGTGGATGGACATCCACGAAGTCGTAACAGAGAAGTATGAGAAAACAGAAGATTACAATTTTGCAATGTATGTAAAAGCAATATAAAATAAGTTAGAAAAAATGAGAAAATTACATTTGTTAACCACATGTTTTTTTTTTTTTTTAATTCTTTATTTTTATTGTGCAGGTAGGTACAAGCATTGTTGATATGCCACAACAGCGTTTATTTGCATATGCATTCAGTTTAGGCAGTGGCATGAGTTCTTTGCGCATTTTTAACATATAACCAAGCTTAACGTTACGAGTACATGAGTTATCTATTTAAGACTTATATCCTAGCTTAACGGTACATTGCGAAAAAGAAAACTGTTTGTGAATCATGCTGATGTTACAGAACACAGATTATTCAGGCTAGTTTTAGTACAGGCTACTTTATATAGCGACATTTGTGGCTCTTCTTTAGTGTGAGCTGGTCTAGTACACTTTTAACAGGCTGGTCAGTTAGCTTGTAAGTGGGGTGAGTATGTAAGATTAACGTGTTCTAAAGTGAGCTATCTATGTAAGCTTGAGTGAGTATCGTTGCTTATTCGGTTATCCCCTGGGTTACCCCTTTGTAGTGTGCTGTGCACCCCGCCTCCGGTAAGCGACTAAGGAGTCTAAAACACTCCTGGCCCACGACATGAAACGAAAGAAAGAAAATGTCAGAAATAATATAATATAAGGTCATAACATAAATGTGTATCTTGGTGTGGAAGGATGTAGTGGAGCACCTCAATGCCTCTTGCGGGATGGAGAACCAGGTCCTTGAGGCATGCAGGTGATGCACTGATGGTGGAGTGTCCATGTCAGCCTATGCCTCGGCTCGTTATAGTGGGTGAGTCTCTGTTTTTTTCCACCTGTGGAGGGTACGCCTGTCTGTCGGCTTGGGGTCTCCAGACTTGGGAGCGAGAATGGTTCTGGGGTCTATATTCCTGGTCTCCAGGCGGTGCCAACTCCCTCTGTGCCCGGTAAGTGTGAGGGCGTTGGGTGATCCTCTGCTTGATGCGGGCGCTGTTCCGTCTTCTCCATCTACTCCATGCCTTTGCGGCCGGAGTAGCAGCTCCACCTGATCTGTTTATACAGTAATGATGTCTGAGGCAGGTTTCTTACGTGCAGTCGTGGGAGTTGTGCTTTTAGGGGGCTCAGTTGTCATGTTTCTCTTGCCCTTCCGCCGGTCCCCTTGTTGTTGGGACTGTCCAGGCATCGTACGAGCTTCAATCATCTGCCAGAACCTCTCCAGGATTCTGTCTAGGCGCTGCAGAATGTGGCCCCCCAGTCCCGGCTGTTTCGTCTCCAGCTTGTGCAGTTCGCGCCCCTGCTCAGGAAGCGCGTCCGCCATCTTAGATGACATCGCCGGGCCCTTTCTGGGGCCCGTGTCTGGTCTTCGAGTGTGGTAAGAGTATGAGTATAAGGGACTCTTCAGGGGGGGCCGGGATGGACCGGCGGGGGGAGTCTCGTTACGTGGTAGTCTCACCGCTGGGCAGTGCAGTAGGAGAGCGGCCGTCTCTCCCCTGCTTAGTCGCTGGTAGGCCGCAAGGCCTCGAGTCAGGGTGTTCTGTGGCGGAGAGACCCGTGAGGGGTATCCCCCGCACCACCGCCTTTTCTTAGTTAAGCTTAGGCAAACTTTGCATCCAGGTAGGTGTTTATCTCAAGAATATTGTCGATTTTACGGTGCCAGACACCGGACCACATGAACACACGTCTGGTCGGCTCAGTGGTCCAGCCCCGCCCCCCACCATATGGCTTTTATAACTCATCTAAAGTAATTTAAACAATTTTAATTTACTTTAGCACCAAGTTTTACAAAAACAATAGAAGCCACATCCCAGGGCAACTAAGTTGTGGGTTCTTCCTTGAGCATACAGATCATGAACCTCTATTGACCTTTTTTACTCAACTGTAACAAACAATTCCTCTAAGCATGCTGCTCCCACCTATCTATCCTCCCTAATACACAAGTATGTCCCATCTAGGCCCTTATGCTCTGCTGAAGACTTACGTCTATCTTCTGTTCGTACTCCCACCTCTGATGCTCGCCTTCAAGACTTCTCGAGGGCTGCACCGTTCCTGTGGAACTCACTTCCCTCCTCTGTTAGATGCTCACCCAGTCTCCACTCCTTTAAAAAATCATTAAAAACCCACTTCTTCATAAAAGCGTATCAATTAAACTGTTAATAGCTCCCGACTGATTCCTCTTCTGCAACTGTCACTAGTCTAATACTATCCTTACCTTTTTGTGCCATTTTACCCCACTTCCTCTAGCATGTAAGCTCATTGAGCAGGGCCCTCAATCCATCTGTTCGTGTGTGTTCAACTTGTCTGGTTACAACTACATGTTTGTTCGTTCACCCACTGTAAAGCGCTGGCGAATTTGTTGGCGCTATATAAATAATAACATAATCATTACTGTATAAACAAGGATACAATATCATTCCTTTGCATCGGAATGAACTTTCCAGTGGCATTCAGTAGAAATAAAAAAGTATGGTGTATGATCACATGACAGGTTTTCTCTAAAATGAGCTAAAACTTTGTCTAACTGGCTAATAAAATAGATCCAAGTGAGTTAATTCTATTGCTTTGCCTAAAGCCCACATTGGATTTTTTTAATAATTGCACAATTTTCAATTATGCTAAATCATTATATGATGTTTCATAGCAATAAAATGTAAAGTTTGTATGTAAATAAAACATGATTTTTGCCACTCCCACAAAATAAACATTACATAGATTTAACTCCCACATGGCCACAAAACAAAGAAGGTTCAGTTTTATAAAAGACTTAGAAGGCCAGCTGCAAGGGCAAATGATGGGGAAAAGGCAAACAACTCCACAGTATTGACAGCCACAGTAATGTGCGTCTTGTTAACAAATTAAGAAATGCTTCAGTTGTTAACATCTGAAAGATGTCAAAATATTAGCTTCATAGTCCACTTAATGTATGCACTGAAATAAAAGTGTCATCAAAGGTAACATGTTTTGAAAAATGACACATGACTTATCTATCACAGAATTTTGGAAAAGACTTTTAAGCATTGGAGGATAATTTACATTTTGAGGACTGGATGGTGATCGGAAAGTAGAAAGTTGTAATCCCAATATTATATCACAGTATGATGATATAAAGACTGTGTAAATAAAGAACAAAGAAAGAAATAAAGAATGAAAAAATGAAGAAATGAAGAAAAATCCTGATAAATATCCAGTCAAAGTTTGTAGCATTGACACAGTCCACTTCACAAACATTTGGTGTATGGGTTGCTCTTTAACTCAAAGTATGTAATAACCCATGGCTTTGAAGTCTCCAGAAGAGAAAGGATGAAACACGATTTATAGCTCTTCCATGTGAAGTTTGACATACTGGAATTCAAAGGCACACCAATGGCTTTATGAAGCTCTACTAACAGCATTTGGAAAATATACAATGTACTCTAAGGTTCCTTGATTATAAAAAAAAACAAAAAAAAACCTTCAAAGCTTTTTTATCATAACCAGGTGGCATTACCCAACCAACATCATCGTTGTTTATTAATACCGAGCTTTTTTTTTTTTTTTTTGGTTTCTCCTTAACTAAACCATTTTTTAATCAATTGCCCTGTAAATATGTGTTTGTATTCATTTAACCCCTTAAGGGCCAAACTTCTGGAATAAAAGGGAATCATGACACGTCACACATGTCATGTGTCCTTAAGGGGTTAAAAAATAATAATTCTGTTTTACAATCATTGGATCATGTTCAGTTTTGCGTTTTATTAACAGTTAGTGATGTCCCGAACGGTTCGCCGAACGGTTCGCCACAGGTGGCGAACATATGCGCTGTTCGGTCCGCCCCCTATTCGTCATCATTGAGTAAACTTTGACCCTGTACCTCACAGTGAGCAGACACATTCCAGCAATCAGCAGCAGACCCTCCCTCCCAGAACCTCCCACCTCCTGGACAGCTCACTAAGAATGCAGCTTCACAATGAATGTAAAATGGATGCTGTCCAGGAGGTGGGAGGGTCTGGGAGGGAGGGTCTGCTGCTGATTGGCTGGAATGTGTCTGCTGACTGTGAGGTACAGGGTCAAAGTTTACTCAATGATGACATAGGGGGCGGACCGAACAGCGCATATGTTCGCCATCTGTGGCGAACCATTCGGCGAACCGTTCGGGACATCACTATTGACAGTTTTAAATTCGTCTGTGGAGACAGTGAAGACAATATAAGTGCTATAGTGGGTGCCAATAAATGCAGGTTTTAAATATATTGGTTTTCCTGATGATTGATCATTTTAAATCACTTTGTCCCAATATAGAACCCATTTTGGTCTTAAATAATCTCTCAAAATATAATGAATGCTTCCATATGCTTGCTGATTTTTTTTTTTTTTATATCACTATTAATGGTCTATGTGCAGGAGAGTACATATTTTCTCCTTTTGACATTTCCCATGTTAAAACAAATCTTTATTTCCCTATATATGATCATTCCTAAGCAAATCAAAAATTGCCCACTCCATCTTAGCCAAAGTACGGGAGAGAGGGGAGGGGACATTGAACTTCTAAATTATTTTTTGGCACTTTCTGTGTTGTATACCACTTACTACCCATTAGGTCCTGAATTTCCCAGTGTTATGTTTGGAACTTAGAACAGGCACTTGCAATGGGAACATACTGTGCTTTGAATTTTTTATTATAAAGAATTAATCTGTCTTAACTGTCAATTATAGTGTTATTTATATGTATTTCCAAAATTACTATTCGGGTATTAAAATTAGTAATACACTATTGTATATTATATATTATATAGATATTGTCTATTACCCAGGACATACTTGAAAACGAGAGAAATCTCAATGTATCTTTCCTGGTAAAATATTTTATAAATAATACATAATTGTTTAATATTAGTCATTTAAAAATATAAATTAAAATTGTATGGCATCTAAATATTGATACTGAGGTTGTGACTTATAAAATAAAAAATAAATGTTTAAATTGTCTTTGTTCCAGTTTTAATCTCCGTTTCCTTTAATTTCTATGCATAAATCAACAAGCCAATCAGCTTCCACGTGCCTTATTTCATCTATATTCAAACATATTGCCTCTTACTAAAAAAGTTAAGTAAATGGGTAAAACAAGGTCACTTTTTTCACTTTCTTTCTTTACAATTTAAAAAAAATAATGCATTAAAATAGCTAGAAAATTTGGAAAATAAGTATGATGTTATTGGCAAATTATGTATAACATTTAAAATGTTCTTTTTTTTTTTGCTATTTCTTTAGATTAATTATACACGTGCAGATGTGCTCTTGAAATTAATATTGATAATATAAACTATACTAAAAAAGCTTGCAACAATGCCAAATGTTCATTTCGTTTTTATAAAAGTAATTTAATATATTTAGCTAACAGCAAGGTCTAATAGATCTAAAGGCTCAGAATGTATGACCTTTGCAAAATCTTTTATTTACACTGTGTTATTAACCCATGAGAGATTTCCAAGAATTACAATATGTGTTTAAATCCCTAAATCTAAGTAAAATGTCTTCTGGATTAATTTATTGATCTCACAATAAAGTTCAGTTTGACAAATGCACTTAAATCAAAAAAAGTGTGTGTTTATAAATATATGAATGGATAAACAAACAAACATAAATTCATATATACATATAGAAAGATCTTTTTGCGATGAATGATAAAAAAGGATTTCAGTAACGACATATATGGTTCCCTTATGAAGAAAATGAGGTCGTATCATATTTAAATGGTCACAGATGATGCAAAAATATAGAAACTGGTTATTTTGTTACCTTGATCAATGTATTTATATTTTACTTTGTATTATTATACTGTCTTAGAACTGCCCTGATCACTTCAGCTGGTTCTGTGAGGATAGTAGCAGCATCTGTAGAACCTGCTAAAGCCCTAGGGTTGAGAGTTTGATACAGCTAAAGTCATTCATTTCTGAGGTCAATAAATGAATTCCATTTAGTCAAATAGTAACATTGATGATGCATCCTTTTTGGCCATACAGGCATTTCCCGATTTATGAACTTCCGCTTTACGTTTTCCCACCTTTACGAATGCATTCTGGACGTGCTGCCATTTTTTTCTGGTACTCCGTGGAAGCAGACCAAGGAGCAGAGATTGTGGCCAGAAGAAGAGAAAGGTTAGTGTAATCATCATGGTGAAATCATGGTGACCGGTAGGAGGGGAGCGCTGTGCTGCTCCATTCCTGCCGCTGTTGTTGCGTGACTGAGCGGACTGCAGTCTGCCAGAAAGTGCTCACTGAGAGAGCACTTCTTGTCAGACCAGGCACTGTGCCCCCGGTGAGAAGGTACAGGCTGGGAGGGGGGAGAGACACATCA